CAGCTGGTACCCGTGGTGGGAATCTCAACCAAGTTGGAAAGTGGCCAGGTCTGACCCAGCTGATCAACAGGGAAGAGATCCACGTCTCAGTGAGGGACTAAGCTTACTTGTCATAGGAAGCATTAAAGGATGTGTCTTCAGCTTAAACAAAATGTTGGGGTTGCTAAATTAGCTGAGATTGAGCCCACCCATGTAAAATGTACTTCCACTAAACTGACCCAAGCCAACCTATATAAACCTAGTTCCACACGTTTTCCTTACTGATATCTAGACTGATAGGCTTGGTCCTTAAGACTTATGAGAACTCTTTGCTTGCAATGCTCAAGTTACATTTACAGCTTTAATTTAGACCAGAAATGAAATTGATAGGGATTAAACTCTAATCTGTCTGACCTACAAACCATTTTGCTTGGCATTCTGTATCTTGTAATCAATAAATCCCAGAATTAAGTGATATGCTTGCACATCCTTGCTCGCTAGGGAACATTTACACTCCCCACACAAACAAACCAGTTCCACTCACCTTATTTCCTGAAAGGGAAGGCAAGGAGAGGATTAGGAGAGCTTTGGGTTACGTAGGAAAATATATTGAGGTGCCCTCAGTCCCACAGCAATCAATAGGCACTCAGAGACTCGCTGGAGCCTGTCCTTAAGTAATATTGGCAGTTTCCAAGCGGTGTCCTAACAGCAGCTGGTGCCAGATGGGCTGCATCCAGCCTCCAGTGAGGTCAGTGGCATGGGGCTGACTCCTCATGCAGGGTTTTGCCTGTGCTCACTTTCCCACCTCATAATTCACAGTCAGAGGCAGGCAGCAACCACTTAAGGCCAATGCCATCGAACCCAGCCCAGTGGTTCTGAGATTCTGTTCCTAAACCCACACCTAATGCCTACTTTCAGGCTCTTCGGGCACTATTTCATGATGTTGAATGGTGTTGGCTCCTGGTCTGCGGAGTGACTTTTCCTATTGTAACTAGTGTGTTTATCCTCACTTAAAACACCTCTTAGTTTCATCTCAGTGGCACCAGCCCATTAGCAGATTTTCCTCTGTCACAAAATCACAGCTTCAGTTTCGTGGCATTTTCCATAAAGCACCTTTTTTCCTTCTGACGTAGCACACAGCCAGACTCTTCCTCACACCTACACGGGGAACAGCTACAGCTAAAGCTTTTGGTTCATATGTTTTCTTATATGAAATCAGGAAACCCCTTTAGGCTTCACCTGAGCCTCAGCAGTGGGTCACTGTGGAGCACTTGGGTACATTTCCCTGCCTGAGCCAGCCTGCCATGCCTACACAGGGAGGTACGTGGACTGGACTGCCCAGGATCTTGTAAGACCATCTGACTCTTAAATCCCTATCAAACGTGACATATGTATGGGAAGGTTAAATCAAGAAAGCCACTCACCTGAAATTACTCTGAAGACCACCCTGAATGCAGCCAGCATCAGTGTCTGAGCTCCTGATGTGAGCCCAGTGCCAGTTTTCTGCTGTTGGTTGCTTCCCAGAACCAAGGGTCCATGGCACTGCAGCATGCATCAGGCCAGGACTGCCACATCTGAGAGTGACATTACTCAGAATGACCTGGACCACTGTATGAGCTCATCAGCCCCTAAAGGAAGAGCCTATGAGACATCTCAACCAGAAGAGTAAGTCCCCTTTCCTCAGGGCTAACATTTCCATCCGCAGTGAAACCTCCCACATAGTTAACCCAAATGGAATATAGTCACATACAGCAGGAAAACAAACCATGAAATCATTCAGTACCTTCTTATGGTGCAGGAAATGCTGTTGATTTATGTGAAAGATTCCCTGTGGGGTATCAGGAAGCCCCTCCACATGTGAGCTGGAGTAGTGAGGCTGCAGTTTGGATTAGAGCTTGTTCTGCAATAGAGCTGCAGGGATGGCAGCAGGGAGGCTGCCAGACCTAAGCTATTTATGCCTGCTGGCTATGGGATGAGATCTTACCAATGGTGAGATCAGGGCCTTCAGCAGGAAAGAACCTTTGCAGCTGTAGGGTAGGAAATTATTCTCATGGGTTTATGGGGGCTGAACCAGCCAAGTTTCTGGCAGATGGTGGAGAAGGGCCAGTTTGTTTTCTCCCATCACTGAGCCTGGTTTATACTCCTGTATACCAGCCTCAGCAAAGAGAGGAAACATGACCGTGCCTCTTTGGGGTCTCACTTGAAGTTCCTCAAGCCAAAGCAGGCACCAGGTCAGAAAAGGTGAGCCAGAGAGAGAGCTGCAATGAACTCCACATGGAGCTGGTCTGACGGTGATCAGCAAAAGCTGTGAGGAGCAAGCAGTGAACAGCCCAGTCCCTTCCTGCATGTCATGGATCCCAAAATACAGGCAGGGTCTCTGTATCAGCCAGAGGCTAACCTCTCCCCACTGCTCTCACTGTAGCTGTACCTGGTTTGGTTAAACAGTGAGGCTGATTGAAATGCGCTACAAAATCACAGTGCATCACATCAGCAGCCCTAAGAGCATCAAACACTGACACCATCGATGCCTGCTGAGAGAGTCCACAAGCATAAAATCATAGACTTCAGAATGGTTTGGGTTGGAAAGGACCTTAAAGTTCATCCAGTTCCAACCCCCTGCCACAGGCAGGGACACCTCACACCAGACCAGGTTGCTCCAAGCCCCCGTGTCCAACCTGGCCTTGAACACTGCCAGGGATGGGGCAGCCACAGCTTCTCTGGGCACCCTGTGCCAGCGCCTCAGCACCCTCACAGGGAAGAACTTCTGCCTTAGATCTAACCTTATCTAAACCCCTGTTTCAGTTTGAACCCATCACCCCTTGTCCTATCGCTACAGTCCCTGATGAAGAGTCCCTCTCCTGCATCCTCGTAGCCCCCTTCAGACACTGGAAGCACCCGAAATTGCGGAGGGGCCAGCATCCCTGTTCAGACCCAAAAGACAGACGTACATCATTTTAGGAAAACAGGTTTTAAATTACCAACACATTTCTCTGGAGCTGTATCTTGGCACAACATCGCATTGACTGCAACTACATGCCCATGAACTAGGGTCTCACTTGATGCAAGTCATCTACCCACTGGATATAACCAGCCCCAAAGCTTCAGGAATGTTGATCTCCTGGACAACGTGTACTTTTTAATTGGGAAATCTCACAAATCATTTTACTGTAGCTGACGCTTCACTTTTGGGGAGAAAGAAAAAAAAGAAAAAGGAAGGTTTTACAAAGCTCCCTTTATTCACCTGAATCCCACTAAGTCAAGAGAAAAACTGCTGCTGACTCACAACAGCATTTGAATCAAGTGCTGAATTAGAAATTACACTTTGTACAGTGTCAGCTCAGGGAAGAACTACTTCCTAAAAGATCATGTGGTGACACCTTTTATCCTTTCTTAGCCAAAGTCCTAGCAGTACCTTCCAACACTGATGCACCGAATCAGAATTTTCCTCTTCTGTAACAGTTGTAATAAAAGCCAGTTATAGTTTTGGTCCCACAGATGTTAAAAACTGGTTTCAGCCTCCTTTCATGAACAAAATACCCACTGAAATCCAAAGTGTTGTGCCTGTTTGAGGAACACATCTCTAATTCATCTTGGCTGCTTCCAGCTCTTACAGCTCTGGGAGAGGAACAGGTTCCCTGGGCATCGTCTATACTCAGATCCACTCAGATCCCCTTATGAGCCCAGCCCAAGGAGAGGACCATTATTTGTCCAAACTGCTGATCCCTAAAGGTGCTTCCTCTGACTTTATGCAGTGGTTTTGGATGCTATTGGATGGCTTTTTAACCCTACCTCTTCTCTGTAGGCAGCTGCATCAGGTGTGCAGCAAATCCCATCGCCTCCATGCAAAGTGCGCTGAGCTCCTTTCCTCCACCTTGCTCCAGCAGACCCAACACCATCCTTTCTCTGGGCCTGCAGAGAACTAAGTGGACAGAAAGTGATTCCCTAACCCCCAAAAGCAATCCATTTCCTGCCGATTCCCCTTGAGAACTGGCTTGCTCTCAGAGGAGGGGCAGCATGAGCCGGTGGGAACTGTGGAGAGGCACAAAGGCAGGTCTGCCTCCTTCTGTGGCACCTTGCCATGAGCTGACTTCCACCCGTTATGAAGTCCTAGTTGTCCTCTCTTGCCTCTCTCGGTAGATTTCTTTCTTCTCTCTGAAGTGGTGCTCCAGGACTCTGCCTCTCACCTCTTGCACCAGGCTCAGCAGTAGGCATGCACTGAGGTACAAGCCCTTGATGATGTGCAGCCGCAGTAGGGAAGGGGTACATCCAGGGACAGATTTCAGGTCCACTCCCTTTTAGGCAGAGGAAACTTGGGGGGGGGGGACGGACGGACAGTTTTACACGGGTGATGCCTGCAATTACACGGGAATTTCACCGAATGCTCCTCTCTGCATTCCCCTATCAAACCTTTACAGTCCTTTCCTGGCTTCAGAGTCACTGTCGCCAGCATGCGCTGTCTTCTACTGACATCTAGGGACAGAGGCTGGAAATCGCAAGCTGGCTGTTCACATGAGCAGTTTAAAACGTATTTAAAATTGGTAAAACTGGTTTGTTTGAGGAGACCAATTATTTGATTGATTTGGGGAAGAAAAGTGCAGGTGCCCCCTACCCCCCCCCCCCCCCCCGAAACGTAAAATAAAACTCTTACATCAGAATTTGTATTTTTAACAACCTTTCGTTGCCCTCTCCCAGTAACTGTTTGTAACACGTCCAATGGCATTTGCTGGGTCTATCCAAGAGAGAATCCTTCTGGTTCATCTGTGGGACAGCTACTGCAATGGGTGTACCACCACGTTCTCCATGGTGCCGTCCCACTGTGATACCCGAGGCTTGCCTCTCTGTACCATGGGGACAGTGCTGTTTGCCTGTCATCTGTGCGAGGGGCCACAAACACAGCTGACAGTTACATCCTGTACCTAAGAAGCACTGCTGTTCTACTTGCAATGTCTGCAGAATTCAGCTACTCATAACGTGAGCCTGGATCATGGGGTTTTTTGCTGCATAATCACAGCAAAGATGGCTTAAAAAGGAAAATAGCATTTATTATCCACACAAGGACTTTTAATCAGACCCCAAATTAATTTCAGAAATGTGCTGTCACATTTCACAGATGCAAAATGTTCTAAAATAGCTGAGACCAAACTTGAGCATGTTATTAGCTTCATCCTAAACCACTGCATTTTGCTTATTCAAGAAACTGGATGATCCTCTTCTATGCAAAATTTTAGACGTAAATCATTCTGGTTCAGAGCTATGACATCCCAGTACAAGTCACAATCCTTCTTTAAGTTGGTTAGTACACACTGTGGTAGAAATTTAAAAGAGAAAATATAACATCAAAGCCAGTTACAAGAGGATGACATACATCACTATTAAATCACACTACTTCTATCTTCCACCCAAAAAAATAACCCTCCTCAGTAATAACGTAACATTAAATTTGTTTTAGAAAACCATACATAAAATAACACTGGTACATTTTACTTCCAAAGATTTTGTTGTCTCAGCTCTCTAACAATACTCCAATACAGGTTAAGACTTGTTCATCAACAGTTCAATCACGGACATGTACCAAACATTAAAAAGGCATGCCAAGCATGAATCCTCTTCTCAGGTTTTCTTCTTTTCAATGTAAACTCGAAAGAATAGGCATGAAGCATCTGTACAGCAAATATCAAACAACTATGTAATTTTTGCCTTATTCACCTCAAAAACTTTCATCTGACAACTGGAGAATTAACCTTCATGTTGCTGTGCATGGACATGTTCCTAACTAAACTGAGTATGGACATATGGAGAGTCTTAGGAGGAAGGCAGACTCTTAGTACTTAATACATCTGAACCTCTAAGACCAATACCACTTCCTTATTGGCAGTGGCACACGAATTTACAGAACACCCTGTGACAATAAACACTGCACACACCAAAAGTGACAGTAACCCCTACTGTGTCCCAAAATAAGCAATAAAAAGGCCCCATTCTATAACTAGCTAAATACTCGTACATACTTTCACACAGTAAGAGGAACTACTGAACCTCTTTAAACGAGGGTGTAACACACGGATCCTGTACACCAGAGCCTTCCAGGAAGACTAAGAAAAAAATACAATTGCTGACTGAACTCAAAGTACCTCTGTCCTATACTGTAAAATTAGAGTAGTACATCCTGTAACAGTGCAGCACATTAGATAAGATCTCACAAAAACTACAAGCAGGGTATCACACTACAGCAAGGATATCCACTTACTGGCAGGTCTGTAAATACCGGTACATCTTCAGGGCAACCACATCCCCATCACAAGAAGTACAGGGCAAAACACAGAGCTCTGCTTTAATTATTGCTTTGTTCAAATATTTAAGCTTCAGCAATGCTTCACAATTTTTATAATGGCTTTACATATATTTAGAACCATAAATGCCAAACTCTCAAGGAAATGTAATTAGGATTTTTAAAGACACAGAAATAACAATGTTATGGAGGTCTTGCAGCTCAGAATCTAAGTTAATGAAAACAGAATTAAGATACAAACTCATTTCCTAAGCTGTTTTGTTTATGAGGTTCCCTCCTCCCTCCCCAAAGTTCTCCAGAATAGAACACTTTTCATTTAGGCTCTGCGAGACTGTCGTGCAGGAAGTAGGTTTAGCAAAGCCACTGAACCAATGGGTAGTACACACACACAATCCAGGCACTACTCTTTTCAGAGATTCTTTCACTTGAGAAAATTACTGCTCATCTGCCCACAGTTGCGCTCTTCATGCTCATCTCAAACACATGACCACATTTAGCAGACCACAGGTAGAGATCAAGGGCCTGACAATTCACACAAGAGGAAATAGGCAGCTCACAGATCCAAATTACTCAATCTTCTACAAATAAGGACTGTTACCACCATTTGAGAAGCAACGGTTTCACTGTTCATAGCTGCATTTAGTAGATGTAGGCTCTGAACAGACAATTCCATGAATTTATGCAATCCCTTACTCTAGAAAAGGCAGCTACAACAGCCTAATACAGCTAGGCACAGCAAGGCTGTGAATTTATAACAGCAGTTCCTACAGCTCGCTGCAGCTTGTGGTTAAGCCTAGAGAAGGCAACCTTGATTTGGAGATCTGTAGAACACAGACTTCACAATATTCCCACAAAAAGAAGCCACCATTCTTTGCAGTCTCAGCTTCCCCAGTCATGAGTCCTTCTAGTGGGTTTAAAAACATTAAAAATGTTTTCCATTGTTAGCTCCCTTTTACTGCCTCCACAATTACGGGCCACATCCTTTACCATTTTTCAATCTCTTTTTGAATAGATGGAAAGATTGAAACCTGCCATCACTGTGAAAACAGGTTTTCATGGAAGTAACAGAAGCATTTATTTCCCAATGTCTCCCACGTTTTTCAGCTGTCTTGAAAAAGGGATATATATTCCAAATAGGCTGAGCTTTGACAAAGAAGTTTCAGCATAAGATAAAACATGAAATTATTGAAGCCTTTCCTCTAGAACATGCAGAGAGGCTTGGGTTTATAACAAGGTGTCCTGGGTTCAGCAGTAGCAGTCATTTTTTTCCTCCTTCGTAGCTGGTGCAGTGCTGTGGTTTTGACTTTCGGCCTGGGAACAGTGCTGATAACACCGATGTTTTAGTTGTTGTTCAGTAATGTTTAGTCTGATCAAGAACTTCCTGAGTCTCATGCTCTGCCAGGGAGGAGGGGAAGCTGGGAGGAAGCAGAGACAGGACACCTGACCCAAACTAACCAAAGAGGTATCCCATACCAGAGCACATCATGCCCAGTATAGAAACTGGGAGCAGTTACCCGGAAGGGCTAAATCACTGCTCGGGTCAGGCTGGGTATCGTCCAGCAGGTGAGGAGCAGTTGTATTCTCTTCCCTTGTTATTTCCCTTATCATTATTGGCGGTAGCAGCAGTGGTTTGTGTTATACCTTTGTTACTGGACTGTTTTTTTCTCAACCCACGGGAGTTACATTCTTTCAATTCTCCTACCCGTCCCTCTGGGAACAGGGGGAGGAAGGGGAGGGAGTGAGCGAGTGGCTGCGTGGTTCTGGGTTGCCAGCTGCCATGACACAAGGCTAGTTACAATCTTATAGAGACACTGTTCTAGTTTAAAATACAGTGACAAAAAATTCTGCTTTCCCTCTAAAAGCTTGTTTGTTACAAATCCCGTCTATTTAAACTTCTAACATGTTACTTATTCCCTCTCCTTTTAATTTTGTATCTTATAGGTCAAAACACTAGAACATAAAACTTGAGCCAGCTTTCAACTGCAAGGCTCCTCCTATCAGATAGGACTTAAATAAGGAGGAAGAAAAAGGTTTTTCTAACTTATTCCAAGCAGAATGACTATGAAGAAATGACTCAAGCTTAGGTAGCAAAAGTTAGTGGAATGCCATCTGAAATGAAGAGTGATTCAGTAACACATGACTCTTGCTAATCATTCGTTAATTTCCAATTCAAAACCCACTTAGAAGTACTAATGTAATACCAGTGAAACTAGGAGAAGATACTGCTTGGTTTTCCTCTTGGGCTTAAATGAGAATATCAGTTTTTCTGGCATTTGATAAAATGAAAATCACCAAGTGCTATGTACCCCCAAATACTTAATTCCTTTAACATTTATGAATCAGGACTAGGTAAACTTGCAATGACTTTATTCTGCTAATGTGCAAGACTTGCGTAACACTTATGCCTGGGATATTTGTTCTGTGTGTATTCCACATTTTCCTGTAGGCATTCCCTCCTCCTCTTGAACACATTATACCTTAACAGTGTACCATCTTCTGAAACATCCTTTCTCTGGAAGAGTTAAGATCTGTAACACCAGGCAGAATTTTGTGGAGATTGAGACACTGGATTCTTACAGGTGGAATTGTCTAGACCAGACAGAGAAAGAAATTGTCATGTGAATGCTCTAAAATGCTCCCCAAATTGTTTCTAGTGCCATAAAGGTTCATTCCTGAATTCAGAAATGTAACAACAGAAGCAAAAGGCCCGTATGAGTTAAAATTAAGCATTTCTATTTAAAAAGGCAATCATGAACAGGAAACTAAGTATATGCACAGGTGATACTCAGTAATGCAGTTTAGCCTAGTCTTGGTGTTTACTTAGGTAGTCATCAATTCTTTTTTCTAAGTTATGAATTGGTCTTAGCAATGTCTCTTTCTTCCTTTCCAGAGAATCAATATGATATTACAAGAAGTTTTTTTAACGTTTCCCACTATAGTTATGGTTTCCTAGTTCAGCATGTTTTGAATTGTTTCAGAGAAAATTTCCAAGTCTATCTGACAAGTAAGGTAAGATCTGCATGTTTCACCAAATGAAGGCATTTTGTTCTGTAAAGAGGCATGTCTTAAAAGCAGAATACCAAATGCTGGCAGCTAACTGGAACTACATGAAAATTGTGGTGGAGCAAACCTGTTCTAACTTCAGGTAACACTGAATGCATTGCCTGTGAGAAAAGTAAACTAACCCAGCCTTCTATAGTAACACCCAAACCCCATAACAAACCCCTCCATATTAACCATTAATCACAGCAAACTTGATACCAGGAATAACAAAGGTTATTGTGGAGCCTGTTACCTTCCTTCCTTCTGAGCTAATCAAAGCACTCTGCTTGCCAATATTAAATGCACAGTCATGGTAGAAGCCAGCTCAATGCCTTTCCTTCACTCAGTGACACAGGAAATAAAACATTTGAAGGAAGTACATGGGATTTTCTGGGAGTGCTATGTAAGACCTAAACCTTTGGCATGTTCCCAGTAATAGCCTTAAGGAGGTCAGCTTATTTTAATCTTACTATGCCTAACACTAATACATCATAGTCACTGCAGTAAAATTTAGAGAAGATCCGGTTACTTACTCAGCAAACAATTTATGTCATATCATGCTGCTACTAAGATACACCTACACTAAAGACTTTAAAGCTCTAGTCTTACAGCTACAGGGTAAGATCACATCAAGCTAATCTACTGATTAATTAACTAATACTTCATCAGGTAGATTTTCCCATTTATTCAATCAGCCCTGAGACATAATGCTTGCTGCAAAACAGTTCAGCCATTCTTTAGTAAGGCTGCTGTGCTAGCTTAAAACTTAAGCTAAAGCATTTCAGATATCCCAGAAAATATATGAATAAACTTTTATTTTTATGCATCAAGACACACTATTTTAATACAACCCACACATTTTAAGTCAGGTGGAGAGTACTAAACTGAACAATCATCACTAAAACATTTCCATTGGAAATGTGTTAAAGTTCTCATGTGTCTTCATAACCACCTTACTGAAGTTTTCTTATGCGTTTCTGGGCTACACACCACATGTTTCACACAGTCATGCAAATCTGAATCAAGTTTTAAACGTCCAGGTAACAGGGAAGTCCATTCACTGCAAAGATTCATTTTCAGAGAAAAGCCAAACAAGCAGGGTTCTTCATGAGAGTACAGGTATTTTAGAAACCATGAACTTTCAGTTGTTCTTCCTTGACAATGCCAATCTAAAGGAGAAAAGCAACACATTTCAGTAAAGCTGATATGCTTGGGATATTACAGTGATATCAAGTTACCATAATCTTATACTTTCATTAAAAATACTGCAACACAGTATATAGTCAATAAAGCAGTTTCCTAGTTTCTGGAATGCTTCTGGGCCAAGCAGAAAAACTGACTACATAAAGAAGAAAATCTTATCAGATATCTGACTTGTTCTGTAGTCCTAGCACTTCGTCTTTGACAGTGTTAACACCTCTGCCTCATGATTGCCATCAGTAAGCATCTTTCCTCTACAGGGTTTGCAGTCTCAAAATTGTGGTTTGCATCAAACACTCGATTTTATAAATGGAGACCTCGCGTTGCGCTGGCAAAGAACAAGTGCAATCCTGTAGCAAGGTAAACACATTCTACAGTGCACTGATTCTTACCACAGGTTTACTCTCGTTCTGCAAGCGTCATTTTACTTTTTGGCTGAAAACACAAAGGAACTATAGTGACATCTTTAGCTGGTTAACTAACATCAGTGCCACCTGTCACCGTAATTCTTCCAGAGAACTTTAGGTATTTATCTGCAGTCCCTCACCTCCAAGAGGAATTGGCAAATGTTCTTCCTCTGGTCACCTTGAAGCTGGATAACTTCACCGTATTCGGGATGTTCAATCACAGTACCATTACAAGCAAATTTCTAGAGAGAAACATTCACATTGTCAGACATCTGCTGTACATTACGATTTCGCTTAGCAAGTCTTTTCAGCAGGATTTTGTCACAGACGCTGCACACTAAATTCTGATGCCAAGCAAGGCAAAGGCTAGATCTGTTTTACGCTGGGGTTGGTATATCTGCTGATACATACAGACATGAACTAAACTGCTGATGGTAAATTCAAGCAAAGACAGCATTGGCGACTGTGCAGAAGGAACTGGCCAATGCTCATCACAAGAAAAGAAAATAAAGTTGTAAGATACAGCCTTTCAGCTCCACACCGTTTTAAATAAGTATTTTTTATCCTGGAGAACTCAAAGTCTCCATTTTCAACAGCAACACAGCTTATGACAGAAGCAGGAATGCAAAAACAGTTCTATTCTAACCTGATTTTATTCTTTACATCAAAGCAGCCAGGTATCTGTGAATTTAATGAAACATTCAGAATGCATTTTATTTACTTCTTTATCGGAAAAAACACTAAACTTTTTAGCAAAAAAATCAGTGTCACTAGACCCTGACAGGAGTTATGAGAAAGACAGGGAAAGGGATCAATCTGAATATGAAAGTGATGTGCACTGGCAAGAGTGAAATAAAACAAATATTGTTATCTCTTATTCAAATCTATCATACTCCTTTACATAATATATTTATTACCAAATCAAATCAGTAACTTTACCTTTTTGAAAGCTTTCACAAGTTTCTTCTTGTCATAATCATCTGCAATCCCCTGAACAGTTGTCAGTGTCTTTCTTCCGTTCCGTTGCTGGATCCTTATATGAATGTAATCCTCAGTCCCCGCCGGGAGTAAGTCGTCACCCTTTGTTGCATCAGCAAAGGGGTCTGTGGGAGTTACAAACACATAATGTTTAAATATATCCTTAAAAATCAGAGCACTGCTTTCTCCAGCTGTATTAAGTCTCACTAGGCTACTGTCTCAACACAGCGCTCTCAACTGTCATGCATCTGGTGCCTTCAATGCCCTCCTGGATACAAACCATTTTCAGCAACAGTTTCAATTTACTTCACTATTCCTTGCAAACTGCAAAACCTGAAGCTTCTAAAACTGAAAACATGGTTTCGAGAGAACATCATATGCACCTTAAGTTTTAGATGGCCACATGCATTTTAAGGGCAATCCTGTCTTTCATCAGATCAGCTGATAAGTAGACAATAAAGAAGCTCCTGTACACAGCCTCCCTTTACAGAGCAGAAGTCTTACACTGTGACAACCACACTACCAGCATTTTAAGGCATGGCTGTAATTCTTGGCTACTAATACAAACAAAACACAGCCACAGACACTCAGAAGTGTCAGAGGCTGGCTGTAACCCAGCACCCCTCTGCCAGTCAGTAATTTTAGGCAAGAATTGTAGCAAAATTAATTCAGAGTGACTGAGACAGTTGTCAAATTCTTCCAAGCTTACATTGATCTAGCACAGGTGAAACAGGAAGCATTTAAGAAGACTTTCTGGGTTATACTTCTTATTCTCCATGAAAACATATTTAACACACTATAAAGAAATTTTATGGCCCAACAACTTTCCTAATCAGCCACTTCAAATAAACCTTGAAGAATGAAGTGCTTTTAAGTATTATTTTTTAAGATAAATCACAAGTAATTTTTTGATACTAATCAGAATATTGCAAAGTCTGATCTTCAAGAAGTATAGGTTCAACAGCCACCTATGCTACAACGTCCCAAACTTCCATCCAAAGCACAAACCTAAACACACCAATACAGTTTTGCCACACACTCAAAGCAAGCGCCCCAAAAGGGTAAGACTTCAGCAGAAACAGCAACAGTACTTCAGCTGCAGACACACTGACCTATGTAGAAACAAGAAGGACAAGAGCATTAAAGGCACTGCAAGCAGGATGAGGATGCAAGCACCACAAGGAACAAGTACAGCACTGGGAAGCTTGACTGGCTTAATTCCTATTATGGTCAAAACACACTGTGAACCATGGTCTGTGGGGCAAACACTAACATAAAATTCCAGTAGGAAAAAAGGAGGGGATTCAGGCATGAATTTCACTTGCCAGAGTTTAGGATTCTAGGCTGGTGATGAGCCAGCACGGCAGGTGTTAACAGTGGATCGCTTCAAACAGATCCTATGGGCAGCACCTTCCTAAGGGCAGGGTCAGCTCCTAAATCGTGACTAACAGAACTTTCTCGTACAAGTTACAAGTGCAGAAGATGAGAAACAAAACTTGCAGCCAAAACCCTGACAACGTTATCGTATGAAGTGTTAACCTGCTCGTTTCTGTCACCCATAGATAAGAAGAACCACGGCACAGCGTGGTAAACTTCCCTGTTAATACAGCAGAAATTACCTACCTTCTGTACAGCTCAAACTACAGAACCTACAGCCTCGGCAAGGCATGGGCCAGGTTCTGGGGGCATTGTTATGGATGAGGCAGCAAATCAACAAGCAACTGGAACTGAGGAAATTATTCCCTTCTCAGTAGAGCACATGAACCTCAGGCTCCCTCTGTCCACAAAGGCCACAACTCCCGGGCTGCACCCGCTTCAGCATCACCTCGGAGGCCGGGGCACCGACGCTCGAACCGCACCGGGGCCCTAGGGAACAGGGCCGGGGGCCGAGGACGGGGTGACCGGGGCCAGCCGAGGGGGACCACTGTGGGTCTCTGTGCGGCACACGGGGGTGCCGGCGGCTCTTACCGAAGGACTGGAGGTTCTGGATAGATGACATGCGACTCTGCGGCGAGAGGCTGGAGCAGCGGGGAAAAGGCCGCGGCTGGGTGCTCACGGGTCACGGCTCCGCAGTGCCGGCGGGGCGGGGATCGGAGGAGGGATAACAAAAGCGGAGGGAGGGCGGCGAGCCTGAGAGGGAAGGAAAGGGGAGGGAAAGGCGGAGAAGGGCGAGAAAGGAGAAGCAAGCGCGAAGAGGAAGGAAGAGCGGCCGGAGCCCACGGCCCGGCACCCGCCCCGCAGCGCCGTTAACGGGCAGCGGCCGCCGGTCCCCCTCACAAAATGGCGGCTGACCCCGCCCCGGTGAGGGGTCGCGGTACCCAGTGCGCACCGTGCCCAATGGCCGCCGCCTGAGGAGGCTGGCGGTGGCGGTGGCGGTGGCTAGTGGTCACGGTAGGGTTGTGTGCCCGCACGTCCCTGCCTTCCCCAGGCGGGGAACGGAGCCCCACAGGAGCCCATCGTTCCCTCGCCGTGCTGCGCGCCCGCAGGACGTGGCAGGCCTCCGGGAGAGACCCCGATGGGGGCTTCCCTTCACCACAGTATCACAGCATGCTAGAGATTGGAAAGATCTAGTCCAATTCCCCTGCCGGAGCAGGAACACCTAGTGTTACACAGGAATGTGTCCAGGCGGGTTTTGAATGTCTCCAGGGAAGGAGACTCCACAACCTCCCTGGGCAGCCTGTTCCAGTGCGCTATCACCCTCACTGAGAAGAAGTTTCTTCTCAAGTTTAAGTGGAACCTCTTGTGTTCCAGTTTGTACCCATTACCCCTTGTCCTATCATTGTTTGCCACTGAGTAGAGCCTGGCTCCATCCTCGTGACACTCCCCCTTTATATATTTATAGACACTTATAAGGTCACCCCTCAGTCTCCTCTTCTCCAAGCTATAGAGACCCAGCTCCCTCAGTCTTTCCTCATAAGGGAGATGCTCCACTCCCTTAATCATCTTGGTTGCCCTGCGCTGGACTCTCTCCAGCAGCTCCCTGTCCTTCTTGAACTGAGGGGCCCAGAACTGGACACAATATTCCAGATGGGGTCTCACCAGGGCAGAGTAGAGGGGAAGGAGGACCTCTCTCGACCTACTAACCACCGCCCTTCTAATACACCCCAGGATGCCATTGGCCTTCTTGGCCACAGGGGCACAGTGTTGGCTCCCTTCATGCTTGGGTGCTGCTGTTTGCTGGCCTCCCTTCGTGTGGCGTCAAGCTGATCTGAAATGGTGCTTCCCCCTTCCTCAGTCAAACATAGCATTCTCCTGAAGAAACTGGCTGCTTATGGCCTGCATGGGTGGATTCTCTTGTCTTTGGGGCAGAGCCCAAATGGTATCACATCCAGTTGGTGACCATCACTAGCGGTGTCCCTCAGGGCTCAGTGTTAGGGCCAGTCTTGTTTAATATCTTCAGTGATTATTATTAGGGCCGGTTGATCTGGAGGCTCTGCAGGGAGATCTGGACAGGCTGGATCCATGGGCTGTGGCCAAAGGGGTGAGGTTCAAGAAGGCAAAGTGCTGGGTCCTGCAGTTGGGCCACAACCGCCCCATGCAGTGCTGCAGGCTTGGGCTGGAAACTGCTCATGGGAAAGGACCTGCAGGTGCTGAATGATGGAGCTGAACATGAGCAGCTTGTGCCCAGGAAGCCACCAGCATCCTGGCCTGGATCAGCACCACTGCGGCAGCAGGGCCAGGGCAGGGATTGTGCCCCTGTGCTGGGCACAGCCTGGGTGCCACCATGCTACAATGACTTTGTAGAGGCTCAGTAACTTACTTGCACTGGCACAATTGCCAGAAGCTCTATTTCTCCTTCTTTTTTTGGCTTTTATACCAAGCTTCAGTCCTCTTAAACCAAAGTGCTATTTCTCTTCAATGCTCCAAGGCCTGGATCAGCACTGCAGTACCTTAATGCATGTCACTGTGCATTGGTCTAAGAAAGTTTCTGGTCCTGGCACTCTGAAAACAAGCTTTAATTTTCAGGGAAAGCAAGGCCATTTGCCATCATACAAAACCTCTGCTCACCCTTTGCTGCCATTGCTGATGAAGGCTTTCCTGCAGTATGGACTGTAGAGAAGGGTTGTCTGACCCCTTCCCAAGCAAAGGCACCAATGGGACAGTAATGGGAGGATGGGGAGACGCTGATTAGAGAGCTTGAGGTGCCTGCTTCAGTCACAGAGGGCATGGCATGGTTTGGACAATGTGGATCCAGGATGCAGATCTGGACACTGTGAAACCTTCTGGGCAGGGTGAGCAAGCTCAGAACACCCAGCCTCAGGGACACGTCCCAGGATGTCTCCAGCACCTCTCTCAGAGACATTACATTACAACTAATGGGGGGGGGGGGATTTTGCCTCTGATGCATTTTTGCAAATCCTATATATTTGTGCAAAATTCTGTTGTCTGTTTTGCTCTCCCATGAAACTTTTCCCTTTTTTGCCCCAGCCACTGGTTTTTGTTACCTTGGCTGGGCCAGTTCCTCTGTCTGTGGGACACTGCGATGAACCAGGTCAATGTTTGAGTTAAAACATAAACTCAAAGGTTAAAACCTCACATCCACTCCACTTACATACTCCTGCAACGGTTGTGCTGGGGCAATCCAACAGGACAAAGGCTGGGGCCAGGCCTAGCCATGGATGAGAGGACAGTGGGTGTTGAGACACAAACCCCAAGCCCGAAGCCACAGGTCTGGGTGCGTTTTTTGCTGACTGTGGCAATTCTTGTGCTTAATTTGGATCTTCATGTATTTAAAATAGTATTTACTTCTCACTACAGGGTTTACCTGGGCCTATGGGTGATTTGTGGAATTCATCCTGCAGTTTACAGCAAAAGAGATTTGGTTTCTGGGAAACAGCAAAGCTCCTTTATAAACCAAGAAGATGTGACTGTTGTTCATCACGGTTTCATTTTAAGGACCATTCTTAAGTGCAAACCTTAATAACTGCAGAGGGAATGGAAACAAACCCTAATTGCACAGCTTGGCATGCACTGGGCAGCAATTAAAACAAAGGTGGTGGCCAACAAGCTTATCATTCCCTTGGCAGTGGGCCACAATGGCCATATGGGATCGCTGTGGGGCTGCATCATTGCAGCATCATCTGCTGCCCTCCTCAGGGGGAGCTTTGCACCAAACTTTGGCCCCTATGGGCAGGCATAGGAGATGTGCTTCTGCTTTTGCCCCCTGGCAGCTGTCCTGAGGGCCTTTGTCCTGACTGAGTCCTTCCCATTGCTGCTGAGCAGCCACTCATGGTGATAGACCTATGAAAGCCCTGTTGTGAGAGCTTCCAGCCACACCAGAGTGCAAAGGCAGGCCAAGCACAACAGTAAACAAAAGGTAGCAGCAATTAAAATAGAGCTAAAACCTAAGCGGGGTTGTTCCTTAGGCTGTTACATTTCAGTTTATGGCTAATCACCCTAGAGCTGAGGCTGGAGTTAATCTCATTTGCTAATAGCTATTAGACATCAGGGTTTAAGCAATGGATTAGGAATGAGACTCTTGCCTTTCCATGACTAATGTATAAGCTGGCAACTATTGTGCTGGAAAAGCAAAATATCATCTCTATCTTGATCATGGCTTCAAGCTATTTAAGTGTAATACTTGCACAACCTGGTTATGAATTGCAATTAAAGATCCCTTCGCTTGCCTTTTACTGCATTCAGTTCATCTGTCAGGCTGTATGTGACTCATTAGAGGTTATTTATGACTGGGTAAAATGCAAGGAATAAAACCAGGAACTCACAGGCATGCAGATGAAAACTATGACATAGTGAAGCCAAAAACTGTCACCCTGGTGCAGAACGGCACCTTCACTGGGTACTTTCTGAAGTACCTTGGCTGCCCTTTAGGAGCAAGGAGTAACCCAGCCTAACGGGAGACACTCTGTTATTCCAGAGAACTGCTGTATGGAAGTATGGGCTGGGAATGCCCTGTCTTGCATCAGCGAAACAGGTCAACTGCACTTGGGAAGAGTGGCTGGAGAGTGACTGTCCCCCTGAGCTCGGCCCTTCTGAAGCCACACCTCAAATCCTGTGTTCAGCTCTGGGCCCCTCACTACAAGAGAGACATTGAGGTGATGGAGCAGGGCCAGAGAAGGGCAGCGGAGCTGGTGCAGGGCCTGGAGCACAAGTGTGATGGGGAAGGGCTGAGGGACCTGGGGGGTTCAGTGTGGAGAAGAGAAGGCTCAGGGGGGACCTGATCGCTCCCTACAACTGCCTGACAGGAGGTTGTAGTGAGGTGGGGTCGGTCTCTGCTCCCAAGGAACAAGGGACAGGACAAGAGGAAACGGCCTCAAGCTGCATCAGGGGACGTTCAGACCACCAGCAGATGGCAGCTACGCTCAACATTACAGGAAGTTACAGGAACTTTGTACCCCCTTTCTAAATGGGTTTGTATCTGCAGCAGTCTCCAAAGTCTCATTTCTATCAGATGAGTTATTTGAGGTGCAAGGAGTTCAATTTGAAGTCCTTGATTTTAGTACTGAAATACCAAACAGCCTACAATACTGAACCACTACAGCCCCACTTACCAAAGATGGCAATAGTTCAACAGGAGCACTAACAAATCTGTTCCACTTCTGAAAGGCAGAACTGCTGGAAATAAACTTTTGCTTGAAGACAAGAGAGCATTTCTGTAACAGGTCATCTTGTTCAAGCCCCACATAACATCCCTGCAGGAAGAGACAAGGGCCATATGCTGCAGTCTTTGCCTCTACACAATTAGGTAGTATTTGCATATTGAACAGGCCCAGGGTGAGCCAGAGCAATGGGTGAATTGCATGTGTAAAGCAGACTCAGTGGTGCATTCATGTCCTCTCTGCAGCCCCACTTCCCAGCTAAGTCTGGGAATCTCCAGAGGAAAAAAGAACAATAACCTCACAGCAGAGAGATTCATACAGCACTTTCCAATATGCCTTGTCTTCCATGAACTCCCCGGATACTGAGCATGGCTTGTAGGGCAAGCCACAAAAGCTAAGTACCAAAATACCCCAGTGCCTGTTTATGATGACAGCTCATTAACCAACAGGATACCCCCTTGTGACAGCATGGCCCAGAGTCAATACCAGTGCTACACTTTTGGACTACAGCATGCAAAGATGTGTATCCACAAGATGGAAAGCAGAAGAGAGAACATTCAGGCTCATAACTCCCCCTAGAGATCTTGGACATCGTCTTTTCAAGATTCTCTAGGTGATTGTTCCTTGCATTTCCTCAAGGGATGCAATGTGTCTGATGAGACATTCCTGACAACAGCTGCAAGTCTATTTTGATGAAGAACACAATTTCCAATTAGTGAATATTAAGAGTA